TTGACACTTAAGTCAAAGCTTAAGACTATTCTTAAGAGCATTTCTGAGAAGTTTTATACATACGGGCCCTGGTGTTTTCCTTACTGATTTAAATATCCTATACCAGGCGTGCCCAATCCTGTTCCTGGAGATCTACCATGCTGCAAAGTTCAGTTCCAACCCTGATCAAACACACCTGAACCAGCTAATCAATCTCTTAAGACATGGCAAAGAGAATGGCTGAAAAGCAGAGAAAAGCATGGACTTTCTGTTCTTCATAAAGAACTCGAGACAGTAGGCCATTTCTGAATTTCTGCTCGTTTTGCCTGAAATACAACAGGCATATTCATTCATAAAGCTGAACGGCAAATTTACATTCAGAATAACAAATAAAAAAATAGAACTGTATAATTAAACAAATTATTATAGACTATATGTTTTTGTCATCTTCTGATTGGTCGACTTCAGATGGATCGCCAAATCATCTCGTTCAACCGCACATATGCCACGAATTTAAACCGACAGCATCCGATTTTTTTTACATGTTTGAAAATTATCGGGAGGACGGGAGGTGCTCGTAACGTTCTCGGATCGGCCCGTAATTCTTCTCACACGGTACGAGCCGCGCGACCATGCGAGCATCTGCGATTTTCTCCCGAGAGAAAAAAACAAATCGCCTGCGAGCTCGTACGACATCAAAAATCGCACCGTGTACGCCCGCCTTTAGGTAGCACTTGATAATTACAGACAGCTGTGTTGGAGTAGGTAGGTAGATCTCCAGGAACAGGATTGGGCACACCTGTTCTATACTATTGTATGAATGCAGTTTTCTACAGTTTTCTCTGAACACTCACCTGAAATGAATTATCCGTTTCAGTGCAGATGTTCTTCACCCCATCCTTCTCACTTTCATATCCTTCTCTCCTCTCTCGGTTTACACCTGGAAATGACATTATTAATGATTAATCTGACCACAAGCCTTTAGACAAACTGCTGTTCTAGCTGGTTTTAACATGTGTCTGATATTGACTGGATATTGAGCAATACTGATTTATAAAAATCATTTAAATTATTTTTTTGTTTACATGGCCAACAACAGATTTGCAGAACAATTTTGTTTTACTTGTTTTTGACAATGACAAATCATTGTGGGATTTAACGCTGAGTTTTATTTATAACACTTTTTAAATCATTTAGTTTCATTTTGTTGAATAAAGTTTATGGATTCAAGCAATAACTTACTTTAAGTGAAAGTGATGTGACGTGGAATTAGTGCTCTGCATTTATCCCATCCAAAGTGCATTTTTTTGCTGCGGCATACGGGGAGCAGTTGGGGGTTCGGTGCCTTGCTCAAGGGCACCTCAGTCATGGTATTGAAGGTGGGAGAGAGCGCTGTACATTCACTCCCCCCACCTACAATCCCTGACGGTACGAGACTCGAACCCGCAACCTTAGGGTTATGAGTCCGACTCTCTAACCATTAGGCCACGACTTCCTTTACCTGTGAACACTGCCATTTCTCCTTACACGCAGTGCCATCCAAGCTAACACATTTCTGTTCTTGAAAGGTTTTGTTTTTATTAAAGTTAGTATGATATTCCTGAATCATTCTTTCAATTTCATTTTTACTTTCTACACAAAAAAAATTATCATTATTAAATAAACACTACCTGGCATATACACTGAACAAAATTATAAACGCAATACTTTTGTTTTTGCCCCCATTTTTCATGAGCTGAACTCAAAGATCTAAGACTTTTTCTATGTACACAAAAGGCCTATTTCTCTGTTGTTCTCTGTTTGTTGTTCACAAATCTGTCTAAATCTGTGTTAGTGAGCACTTCTCCTTTGCCGAGATAATCCATCCACCTCACAGGTGTGGCATATCAAGATGCTGATTAGACAACATGATTATTGCACAGGTGTGCCTTAGGCTGGCCACAATAAAAGGCCACTCTAAAATGTGTGTAGTTTTATAAATTTGGGGAAATTTATAAAACTATCATATATACAGCCCTAATGAAAACTTGTGAACAGTGTTTATTCAAAATATAAATATTTTCTAAAAATATAAGTCTTTACTATTACTTTTTATGAATTTAACACATCGTTGTAAAATAAAAGTATTAATTTATTTCAAAAAATGAGAAAAGATACTGACCCCAAACTTTTGAAAGGTAGTGTATTGTTAAAAAAAGGATTTCTATTTTAAATAAACGCTGTTCTTTTTTTAACTCTTTATTCATCAAATAATCATGAAAAAAAGAATCACAGGTAATAATAAAAAAAAAAAAGAATAACAATTAAACAGCACAACTGTTTCAAAAATTGATTATAAATCAGCATATTATAATGATTTCAGAAGAATCATGTTACACTAAAGACTGGAGTAATGATGTTCAAAATTCAGCTTTGCATCACACAAAAACATTATATTTTAAAGTATATATATAAAAAAAACATTATTTTAAATACTGCGCAATATTACCGTGTTGTTCTGTATTTTTGATCAAATAAATACTGGAAACACTGGACTGGTGCCACTAACACTAAGCTATCGGAGAGAGCTGCGGGGTCGGAGAAGAGAAAAAGGCAGTGGACAAGCGCAGACAAGCAAGTTTAACTAAAAATAAAATCTGTTTTTATTAAATCATAGTCTATATGTAAAATGAATGAATATGCGAAATATTAGACTTAAATAGCCCAATTAACAGATTAACAAAACGAAAGGAAAAGACTGAGAGATAGGCTATATGCTGCTGCGTTTGGTTGGCGCGGCGCTCTAAGAAAGTCCAGGGGGGGGTTAAAAACTAATTAAATTGAGTGAAAATAATGAACGCCTATAAGCTAAAGCATACAAATTCAGTAACCTTGTGTTTTTTATATACAGCAGCTTCAAAAAATGGCATATTTTAGATTTTTATTTTCTGTGATATAAACTTCTCATATGTCACTGTTATTAGTGATATAACTTACAGACAGACTAACAGATATGCCAACTGCCGAATATGATACGATATGACAAATTAATACAATTTATGAAAGTAGGGATTGTTTAATTTTTTTATTACATTTTTATTTTTTTACACATCTATTTAGTAATTTTTTCTGACCATCAAGTGTCAGTCACTCTCAATGCCAACTGGCAGGAAAACATGTTCAATTCTAACCATTTTTTACAATAGATAGAAAACAATGCATCAAAAATGGGCAATATTAAGAGAATTTAGCATTTCCAAGTAATGTAGGCCTGTTACATTACCTCTACATTAGAGGCTATATAAATATGCGCGGCAATAATTTCATAGCGCATTACCATATGGCGCGCTGTGAGGACAATTAAAATTTAGGCTATTAGCTTAGGCTACTCCTCATTGAAAATGTTTTTTTTTAGTTTTTTTTTAAACAGGTCTTTTAATTTATACAATTGAATTATAGGCCTATAATTAAAATTATTAACACTGTAGTCATCAATGAAAATTAAGAGCAACTTTATTTGGTGCACAGATTTTAAAAAACAGCCTGTTTAACACGCAATACGTTTCTTCTCATGTTTTTCACTATACAGGCCATAAGATAAATATTAAGGGAATAATTTAAGACAGTTGTTATATACCATCATCAGCCTATATTGAAGTAATTTAGTCTCTTGTTGTCTCAGAGAATATGCGCCGTTAATGCAGCGTTAGAAAGCTCCGTCAGTTTTTTTACTTTCACTTTCTCTTTTTCTCTATAGTGAATTTACTGACGTTCACCGGTATATCGCTTGCGCACAGTTTGCGCGTTGCCTGCTTGTGTTGCTTAACCCCTCCCCCATAATATCAATAGTTTATAGGCCACATATTAGGCAATTTTTTTATGTTTATTTTTCAATGTTAATGAAAGTGACACCAAAAATAAGGGAACATCATTAGGAAATCCTTGGGGGGGCTGTGCCGGGGCTAAGCAAGTTTCTGATGGGCCCCGTCAAGCCCCGCCCTAGCGCCGCCACTGATTAGCCTAATTCATTTTGGCTTGTTTAGCGACTTTTATTTTTCATTCGTTTTCTTCTGAAAAAAAATTGCCTATAGGTTAGGTATTGTGTTTATTGTTTGTACATTATAACATTTCGCTTTATTTACCGGTGTTATTTATGAATGTAATAATGCGGTTTCTGCTTATCCGTGTTTAACCTAAACTACAACATAACATTAATGTAGACCTATACATACCGGCATCTAAATATGATTTTATAATTTTATGCTATAGACCTACCACATCACCCTCCACTGGGTGTAGAATGAGCAGCAATAAACTACATTTTGGCATTTTATAATACTTCTGTGGATATTTTGGTGAAAGTAACTCAAAAGTAACTCAAAAGTAGTGTAACGCATTACAATTCAGAGA